TCTGTTGGCCATCTGGATGTCTTCTTTGCAGAAATGTCTGTTCATGTCTTCTGCCCATTTCTTGATTGGATTAGTTGTTCTTTGGATATTGAGTTTGATAAGTTCTTTATAGATTTTGGATACTTGCCCTTTATCTGATATGTCATTTGCAAACTGCAAATATCTTCTCCCATTCTGCCGGTTGTCTTTTGGTTTTGCTGACTGTTTCTTTCACTGTGCAAAAGCTTTTTATCTTGATGAAGTCCCAACAGTTCATTTTTGCCCTTGCTTCCCTTGCCTTTGGCGATGTTTCTAGGAAGAAGTTGCTGCGGCTGACGTCGAAGAGGTTGCTGCCTGTGTTCTCCTTTAGGAGTTTGATGGACTCCTGTCTCACATTGAGGTCTTTCAACCATTTTGAGTCTATTTTTGTGTGTGGTGTAAGAAAACGGTCCAGTTTCATTCTTCTGCATGTGGCTGTCCAATTTTCCCAACACCATTTGTTGAAGAGACTGTCTCTTTTCCATTGGACATTCTCTCCTGCTTTGTCGAAGATTAGTTGACCATAGAGTTGAGGGTCCATTTCTGGGCTCTCTATTCTGTTCCACTGATCTACGTGTCTGTTTTTGTGCCAGTACCATACTGTCTTGATGATTACTAGAAGCTCTAATATTAATCTAGCTCCCTTTGCTCCAGCTGCATATACAACAAGCAACTTTCTGACTACTGTATATTTTACCAGGTATATGAGACAGGGATTACTTCAGATAGCAGAATGAATATTCTGATCAGTGGAAAGTAAAAACAAATTAACAAGCTTGTCTTAAGCCATGTTGGTTCTTGTGAATCTGTACAATGGAGCCAGTCACTTTGGGAACAATGCTATACACCACATCTCTGAACCTCAGAGTTGAAGTATCTGTGCATAAGGCAGTGATACCACCAAGATGAAAAGTACATCTCAGTGAAGTTGCTGGACAGGCTTGTGTGTGGCATGGCCACAGCTGTGGCCTGTCCCCTGAAACAGGCTCATCTCACTCTGTCTGAGGCTACTTGGGGGAAAGGCTCAAATCCTCCAGAAGTAGGGAGAAGTGAGAAAGGAAAGAGCATTCAAGATTCTCTAAGGGGAGGGCACCTGGGTGGCTCAGTTGGTTAAGCGACTGCCTTCAGCTCAGGTCATGATCCTGGAGTCCCCGGATCGAGTCCCGGATTGGGCTCCCTACTTGGCAGGGAGTCTGCTTCGTTCTCTGACCCTCCCCCCTCTCATGTGCGCTCTCTCTCTCATTCTCTTTCTCTCAAATAAATAAATAAAATCTTTAAAAAAAAAAAAAGATTCCCTAAGGGGAAATTGATTATTACACCCCAAGATTTTCTCTTCTTTACAAGTGTAAGTGAATATTTTTTTTTTGGGAAGTGGGGATTTATTAAGAATATCAAGGTCCAGGGCTTTTTTTTTTTTTTTTTACCATATACCTTAAAAATTTGTTTCATCCCCACAAAAAAAATCCGTATCATTTAAAACTAGATACTCAAATTACATGGCTAACATTCTTAGCTAATCAACTCTTCAGCGCTGATTCTAGAAAACAACCTTCAGTGGGTCTCCGAATAATGGGACAAGGTTCGGCCGTCGATACGAGTGACGTACGCAGTCACACCTTTAACGTTCAAGCCACAAGGCGTGAGGTTTGGGAGGGGTGAGGTCTACTGCCCTGCGTTGTCAGAAGTCGTATTCTCAGTGCTAGCGGGTGGCACATTATCCGCAAGGTTGTGTGCGTGCTCAAGAAACAAATCTTTCAATACGCTTAATTCCTTAGTCAGCAATTTAATTTTTGCTTCCAACCGTTCATTGTCTTCTTTGAGCTGGTTCTCTCTCTGCAGCGTGTCCTGTGCTTTCTGCTTGCTTTTCAACCGGCTCTTTTTCACAGCCATGTTGTTCCTCTCTCTGCGCTGACGATACTCACCGCTGTTGCGATCCATGGGTGAGCTCTTTTTGCTTTGCTTGCTTGGGGCCACAGCCTTGCCGCCTCCCCCGGGGCCAGCAGGCACCAGCTGAGGAACCTGCTGTAAGCCGCCGGCAGGAGCTGGAGTATGAATAACACTTATTCCCGGAGCACTATTCTGCTGGGCTATCTTGCTCATTTGGGCGCTGTCTCTTGCTGACACAGAACAGGCAGAAATGAGGGCAAGGTGATCAATGGTTTCCACACTAAGCTGCCAAGAAATCTTCATATGCACTTGTGCCTCCAGCCCGCCCGCCCCCAGGCGGCCTCCACTCCGACCGGCCCCGCGCGGCGCGGCGCGACGGACCCAGGCCTCGCAGCCCGCGAGTCAGCGAGGAGGAGCGACGGTTACGAAACCCGCAGCCTCCGCCCGTTCCGCCGCCGCCGCCCTAAGTGAATATTTTTAATTATCTTAAGGAAGCACACATAACATGTTAGAGGAAAGAACATGTTTTACCCAATTTTTTCCCCCAATTTTTTTCAAACAAAAAAATAAAGTATATACAAATAAAGAAGCATATCTAAGATTAAGTTGCTCTAAGTCTTTTTTAAGAAAAAGGTAGAAAAATTAGAGCAAACAATAAGAAGAATGAGGTAGCACACACACAAAAATCACTACTTACAATTATTTTGTTATTATAGAAGTTATTCACTTGACAAATCTTATCATTTTCTTTCTGGATGCCATTTTTAAGCTTTTCTATATCAAAATGAGTATTCAACCATTCTTCTAAAAACTGGGTCATTTCTTTCCTATTACTCAGCACTTGCTGAAATTCAGTCTTTATGCAGTGGAAGTCATTTTCTGAAAGATCTTTGAGAATTTCCTGTTTGAAAAATAAGTATTTGATCACCTGAACATTGAGTTTTTATCTAAATATCATACATAAGGGGAAAACACCTTACTGAACTCTCATTCTTAATATTGAGTATCTTGAAATAAACATAATTCTAATTTATTTTAGTTGTATTAGAAATATAATTCTAATTCAAAACTTTGTTCTAGTTATTTGAATAATAAAAATCTGGCAGTATAAGCTATGTAAGGAATGTCTACAAATTCTGCCTGTTAGAATTAAAAACCACCAAAACTATCTGTGACTACTAATCACACATATGTACTGCTGCATGCAGCTTTTCTGTGCACCCAGGCCTTACACACACATTGGGAACTGGATGCCAGCCTCACACTGCTGGGTGAGAGCAAGATACTCTATGAGGAGCTGCTGTAATAACATTGTTCCAGACTCCCAGCTGCAGCTCTAGGATGTCTTAGAAAGCATTCGGAAACTTATTCTGGGGTTCTATGAATTCCCACTTATTGGGACTAAATCTATTTTTCTGTATCTGTGGAGTCCTGAAAAGCGGCTGGCTAGTCCATTACATGGCACTCTTCACATCTGGCCAGCGGTCACCCTGCAACCTATTTTTAATTTCTGGAAAATGAAAATGGCTCTGAGCACATGCAAAAGTACCTTCTCTATATAAGAAAAAGGCTTAAAATCTAATTAAACCATTTAAAATAAACTATACCTCAATATGTAGATCCATATTCTGGCTCAATTTGAGGTCCATGAATTCTCTGGATGGTACATCATAATCTTGTTGAAGCTGCTGTATTTTAATTAGCAGTTCATTTTGCTTTTCCACTTCATCAATAAAAACTACTTCAAATTTATTGATGGATTCATGTTGTTCTTCCTTTATCTTTGTAACATGGCTTAACACATACTTGTAGAAAAACATTAAACAAATTGGGAAATGAACCTTTTATCACATTTAGAGGAAGTTTTAAACCCTCAAGATGAAGAGGTGGAATGGTATATCTTGTTTATCTATATCCTCTGGTAAGTGAGGAAGAAGGAAAGAGCCTCTCTCTATCCCCAATTTTTTCCTCTCAGTATCTTGGGAGAATAACTTCCAGACTTCAAGTTCCTTACTTTGGATTCCCTAGGGGCTACGCCTCATGGATGTCCTACAATTACCTCCGATTCACTGTTAAAATGGAACATAATCTCTTTCCCTATAAACTCACCTTTCTCTTCTGCTCACTTTTTGGTTAACTATGTCACCAATCATGCAGGTACCCCAGCTAGACGCCTGAGGTTCATTTTCAACATCCCTCTCCTGCCTACCTTGGTTGGGTAACCAATGTGGGTATACCAGCCTCAAGGTGTACTTCTCACATGTAGTTAGATGTCTGGCATCAAAGTGACAATACTTTGAATGTCATATGTTCCATGGACCTGCTGGATAAATTCTGGATATCTGATTGCCAGGAAGAATATCAGGGCCTGAGAGGCAATCTACCAAGGAAAGACAGACACCAACTCCCTACTTCCTCAATCTCCCACCACTCCTTAACCTCTTATAATCTGGCTCTTCCCTAACCACTCAATTAAAACGGCTCTAACAAAGGTCAACAATAAGCTCTATTATCAACAAACTGAGGGCATCTCTTCAGTTCATATTCTGGCTGTCTGAAGTATCTGCCACTCTTGACCATTTCATCTTTGACATGCTGTCCTCCACTGACTTGAGCAATAGCACTTTTGCTTGATTTTCTCCTGTCTCTTTGCCATTTCCAACGTCAAACCCATTTGTTGCTCTTTTCTGCTACGGACTTTTGAAAATTTATCTTTTCCAGAGTTCTCATCTTATCCTAAGGCTCTTATTTTTCTATTATGCCTTCTGGGTGACCTTACTCACACATGTATTATCTAGCATGTATATGCTGATGAATTCCAAACCTTTATCTTTAGTCCTGACTTGTCTCCAGATAAACGCCAGACTCATAACTAAGTGCCTACTTGTTTTTCTTCTTGAATGCTCCATCATGAGTATTTCTATCTCAAAACATCTCAAACTAAATACCTGATCGCTTCTCCTGCCTCGCCTGCCTTGCTCCTCTTTCTTTTTTGTTAATGGCACCACTCTCCACAAACCTGGCTATGCCCAAATTCTGGCACTCAATCTAAACATCTCCCTCCTTACCTCACTATCAATCACATGAACTTACTATTTTAAGCTGCTGAATATTTAATTTCTTTTATCCTCCCCATGCCTATGAATCCTTTTCTAGTAGTACGGTCACCTGTAATATCTAATCTGGACCACTGTAACTGCCTTTTGTCTCTTCTCTCTGCCACAAACTCATTGCTTTTCTACAGTGAAGTAGCTAAAATGGTAATCTGATCACGCTACTGCTACAACGTAAAAATAACGGCCCAGTGGCTCCCCATCATCTGCAAAATGAACTCTAAGCATTATTGTTTCAGTCCAGCTTCTACTGCGATCTCATTTTCTGTAATTCTTTATCTGGTTTGTCATACAACCTGCACGTGCTTCTGTCACTACACTTACTAGCTGCTTATATGTTTGCCTCATTCGCTAGACTAGGAGATTTCTGAGATATTATTCCTATCTGTCTCTCGAGCACCATGATGGTGTCTAGGCTCACAGGCAGAGCTCAAGTTTTGTTGAATGAACAGGTCCTAGAGGCACAGTGGATCCTGCACATAACTATTCGGAGATGCACATAATCTTTAAATCAGCAGTAAATATACTAAATAGCAAATATGCCAACTCCCGAAGTAGGACTTAAATGCACTGATGTTAAAACTAAAATTTATAGCAATATTTACAAAGATATTACTAAAAAAGGTAGTACCTGAAGTTTCTTCATGACCCTGTGGAATTCCATTGAACATCTTTGGTTTGCAGTGAGAAGTTTTTGAATTTGTTTGATTTGTGGATATGGAAGTGAGAGGTTTGCTTTTACTCTAACTGAAAGCTCTTTTTGGGTTTCAATTTCTTTCTCCAAGTCAAGGGATAGTCTATTTAAGCACTCATAATTATTATACATCTCTGAGTATCTCTTCAGAAGCTCCTAAGGAAAATTAGAAATCATTCAGTTTAACAATTCATCCTGATTTAACAACAAATAGTGCTTGACCTAGAATTGCTTTTTTCTTTTAATTTTTAAATTTATTTTACTTTTAAATGTAAATTCAGTTAATTAACATATAATGTATTATTTGTTTCAGGGGTACAGTTTGTGATTCATCAGTCTTATATAATACCCAGTGCTCATTACAACACATACCTTCTCCAATGTCCATCACCCAGTTACCCCATCCTTCCAGCCCCTCCCCTCCAGCAACCCTCAGTTTGTTCCCTAATCATTAAGAGTCTCTTATGGTTCGTCTCCCTCTCTGGTTTTGTCTCATTTCATTTTTTCCTCTCTTCCCCTATGATCCTTGCCCTAGAATTGTTAACAAAATTTATGCTTTAACATTTTCTGTAGTACAGAAACAAATTAAGACCTTTGTGTTTTTAAAAAAAGGAAACTCTTATTGTTGATTTTGGATTATAGAAGTATATTTAATTACTGTGAAAATTTTAAAAATTTAAACAAATGTAACAAAGAAAACCAGAAACAACCAGTTATCATTTTGATACATTTTCTTTTACTTTTTTGAGCATTCATGAATTAAATGACCATCTACAAAGAGTGAGGATAAATATGAGGGAATTCAATCTAGTACGTGTTATAGTTCAAGACTGAATGCTGGCTCATGTTTACAGTAGGCAATGTGAGTTTGCAGGTCAAACAAGTGACGAAGAATCAAGCTAGCTATCTGCCAGCTTGGTGAAGCCTCTTTACACATTTCTATTTATCTGCCTAGAATCTGAGTTTTCTAACTTTTTATCAGAGTTAGAGTTCAGGTTCTATCTCTGCTACTTCCTGACTAGGGAAATCATTGAGCCATTTTCCCAACTACACAATGAAGACTATGATGATTGCCACAAAGTTTTCTAGGGGAAAGTAAATATTATAGTATATCTCTATCTATGTAATCTGTAAAATATATACAGACATTATGGCTTAAGGGAAATAAAATTATATTTGTAAAAATGTTTCCATATACAAGTTTTAAACTTATACCCGATTTCAAATCCTGATTCTACCAGCCATGTGACCTTGGGCACCTACTAAACTTCCTCTTCAAGCCTCGTTTGTAAATGGGGCAATAAGGAATATCACATGAGGTAAAGCATCTGGTATATTAGTGCATTTGGCAGACACTCAATAAGCCTGGCCTCTGAGCTCAAACGACTAGAGGCCACACAGGGGATACACTGGTCAAAGTACAGGTGGAGGAACACAGTAGTTCAAACTGCTAGTCATACAAGAAATAACACGTTTAATTCAGGGTGCTAAATAATAGAACAAGGGCCTGCTGACAATAATGAGCTTCCTTTTTAATAACTTAAGGAAAAGCTAGCTGTTCATTTATCTGGGATGTTGGAAAGGGGATTCTTGCCTTTGGTCTTAGTGTGAATCACATTATGATATGGAACAGCACTGTGTAGTAGTCATTCATTT